GAACTGTTTTCTTCTGCTAAGTGGCGATAGCCCTATGGAACTTGCCACCAAAAGTTACTGCAGATGCTGGTACTGTGGATGAGAAACTAGTCAAATACTTGAGAGAAAGATCTATGGAAGGCTACCACCTAAAGGAATCGTGTCAAGCTTGTGTGACTCACGAGCTGAAAATAGTCGGAGTGTGGGAAAGCACCCAGAGGAAGCATACTTGCTGTGTTCTTATTCTTCCTTGGACAGCTGCTTTTGATCACTGCTGTAGAAAGAAAACTGGGCTGGGTGAACCTTTGGTCTGAACTGGTAGAGCCGTTTAGTTGGGAATGCAGGCAGCTACGTGACATATGCTAACCTGAGGAGCTGAACGATACCCGAGCTGGCTTTAAATGAGCTACCTCAGATGCCAGTAGCAGCCTGTCCTCTGGCTGCACGGAGAGCTCATCCTCTCGGTGGCATCAATTAGCCTGTGCTGTTTCTTGCTGTCATCACTGGGATGTTCCCAGTACTAAGCTAGCTTATAGAAAAGTATTGCCATACTAAGCTACTATTTGCTGTGTGGGCATACCTACTGTTTAAGTGGGCATGGTGGTGCACCAATTATTTTGGCAGAGTCTACAAACATGAAGTCGCTAAATTCTCAAAAGCGGGGGAAAAAAGGATTCTAGCTTCAACTCTCAGTTGGTTTCCATTTTCTATTTATTCATTTCACAGGTCTAATACCTTTTTTGAGTGACAGCTCTAGTACACTTAGCTTTGGGGTTGAAAATCATTAGGTTCATGCATCACTGTCAGCAACAGTAAAGCTATGCAACCAGAACTGATGCTGTATCAAGAATAGACTCCAGTGTATTCTCTTTTAACTGTGATGGCTCTGAAGATCTAATAGCACTGAAAAATTAGTAAATAACTATTTTTATCACTAAAGTCAGGAGTTCTGACTCAGAGTGTCCACTAAGGAAATGAACTTTGAGTAACAGGATTTTTTAAAAATATTGTCACTCTTTATCTTAACTACACTTTAAAAAGGAATGATGTCTATTATAGAAATAAAAATATTATATTGATGTCATTACAAACTAATGAAGAATGTTACTAAGTACTTATGTAAGTTAATATTATTGCACATTTTAATGATGTGATTCTCGGGGTCTCCAGTTGGGGGCACTGGGCAAACATAGAAACATGGCAATGGCCAACATGAATGAGGCTTGTACCTAGTCCAGTACTCTGCTGGGCGGGGGGGGCACCACAGGAAAAATGGATGTGAGATACAGTTGTCATTCTGGATTTAGGCATTTTTTAAGATTTCGTTTTCAAAACTCTTTTGCTACTAGCAAACAATTGTACTGTTTTATTTTCATTACCCATAAATCACCCAGTTTCTCTTGCAAAACTAAGAATCTGTGATTTATTTGTTTTTAAAACCATCCCCTTAATCAATAACTTCATTCTAATGGACCCAGGTAGAAAAGTTATTGTTAATATAAATTTGTTACCATTCAGTTTCATTAAACTCTTCCAGCCTAGCATAAATCATTGGCTCTACCTACCTTCAGTATTGCTATTTATTCATTTACATCAACGGAAGAGCTAGACAAAAGTCAAAGATGCTCCCTATTAATGTACAGTGTAAAGACCAGCATGCTTTAAGGTCTGCACGGGCCTGTACACACATAGATTTAGCATCTAAAACAAGACCTAAGGAGAAGATACAACGTATTATTTTGTTCAAGGAATATCAATTATGCTATTAGGAATATGTCAGAGAGACCAATGGTGGTTTCATGGTTTCAACTCATACCATTTAAAGAAAATATAAAATACCAGTTCAGGAATTCATAGCCCTAATTTTGTCAATAAGGTTTTCTAAAACAGGCCAGGTAGATGACTTATAAATTTACCAAATTAAAAGTGAATCGGGTATTCAAAAGTAAAATTTGATAGCAGCTATAGGAGAATGCGTGAAAGGGTGACTATACATATTGGGACTGCACATCTGTACATGGATGTACTGATAAGGAAAGTAAGCATTCAACATTGCCAGGCTCATAGTAGCCTAGATCTTTCCTCCAGCTGATATTTTTAACTAGATTTTGCAACACTGCAATGGATTTCCTGGTCCCTGGAGCTCCTGGCCTCCTATCTGACCTCTGTGTTACAAGTTTTGGCTTCAGTCCTTTGCAAGCGGTCATAAGTTTTCATCCACATCACCGGCTGTCAAAACACAGAGACTTCTGTCTGGGTGTAGATACTTAAGTTTTGGAAAGGCAGGATAGAACATTTTGTTCGTCTTTCCTCATGCTTCTCCGCACACACAGAAACACACACACACAGAAACAAACCAAAGCCCTAATCATGCTATACTTCTTTGGTATCTTCCGTGTAACCATAGAAAGCAATCTATAAATATTAAAGCTTCACAGCAGCAAAAGCATTAAACCCATTAGGTAATCAGAAAGCTGAAATAACTATCAGCTGGATGGCTGCAAGGTTAGGAAAGGTTCAGGAGTTCTAATTTCCAGTCCTTTTAATCTAAACCCTAGGCCACAAATAAGAAATTAGCCTGGAATTAATGATCAACCTTGAAATAACAAAACTTGACAAGCACTGAAGAGTACCAATTTCGCTTTATAAGACACTTATTGTTGCAAAGCTCTAAAATGTGTTTGCTTTTTAATATCTCGGTGGTGTTTTAAGAAAATGAAGTTGCTCCTGGACCTTGAAACTTAGAATGAATTAAATGACACATGAATAAATATATATTAATTCTTTTTTATTAAAGTATCAAAACAAACTTGAGAATAGAAAACAAACTGCTTTTAATGCATTTTAAAGGTTCTCCTGAATAAAGTATACTTTAAGAAAACTCATGCAACATACTGCTCTTGTCTAGCTGTTTAAACTTTTTTTTTTTTTTTTTTTTTTCCTGGGCACAGTCAAATGAACTTGTGTACCATCATTTCTAGAGTAGCGTGCAGGAGCACGCATGCACACATGCACATACAAGCAGTAGAAAGCAGCTATGACTGCACGTATAAAGAAATAAAAATAGATTATCTTCTGACAATAGTAGTGGTACCATATTAACATTTGGCATGCTAAGTAAATAACATCAAGCAACAAAAGCATGACGCCTGCGTCACCAGTGATTACGGTTAAAAGCAACCATACAAATTCCCTACAGGAGACACATGAATTCTGTCATTATATTCTAGTCTCTGTGGTAACCCTTTATAACAGTAGAGGAAGCAAAAAGTTTTGTCTGCTGGTACTGGATGCGCAAAAGGCAAAGCCAAGGTGTAGGATACTGGAATGATGCCTTGGTTTTGTATTTCCACATTACAGAAGTCAAATACCAATGAACGTAGCTTGACAAGTTTATTGTAACACACTTCATGTATATCCATTCTCTGATAAACAGCTGGCCCACTTCCCTGTGGAACTTGCCCTCTGAGCCAGGGAAGTTGCAGCAGAGGCTCCGAACTCTGCCTACCGGACACATGCTGAAGTCAATGGAAGCTCCTTCCACCACACAGAAAGACAATGGATTCTCAGGACAGAATCGGACCTGCTATGTCATCTTTGTAACACATTCACTTTTCAGATACATGAAGTACATATCTTTAAAATGTGATATAGGACATTACAATATATCCAGCTCTTAGGAAAATGTACTAAGAAGTTCTGTTGCAGAATATAATGATCATATAAGGATCAGGTATGATATCTGATAGACTCATCTGGGACTTGTAGGGTAAGAAGCTTATGGCTGAGGTATCTTTAATTTTAGCCTTTAGAACAAAAACACAATTTCAACACTGCATAACTGGTGTAAAATATTATGTACTGTAAGCTCCATTCTTATTGTCTGCTTCACTGAAATTGTGACATTGAGCAGCTAGACACCACTGATGGAGGTACAGAATTTTGGAAGGTATAATATCCCCACTCAATCGTTAAAGATACTCAGTGCCTCATCTGTGGAAAAGATGAAGGATAAGTGTTTTCAATAGTGGTGTCTCAAATACAACTGGTGAAGTTTAGGAATATATAATATTAAACACCAAGAGATAAAAGTAAAAAGACAGCGCAACACTTGTGTTTTCAGTTTTATCTTGCTTGCAGTATTTATTAACTTTACTCATTACGATATTAGTGATAAATAAGGATAATATTTTCTTTTACAAAAAATTGTAAGGATATATTTTATAGGATTAAACAATCTGAGAATTTCACAGAAACATCAGAATTTAAACACTCGTAGCTCCAACTGTTTTGTCCAGCAGCTCTTCTACCAGTTCAAAAACATCTATGGTTAGTATTAATAAAAAATAAAAACAATTATTCACTACATCAAAACTCTTGCCTCCTTTAGACTCTAAGTAACACTTTTGATTGACTGTAGTTGCCACCCAAATGTAAAATAAAAGTAGCTGCAATCATAATTTTTCCCTCTGAATCACCTGGCGAAATCCTGACCAGGATGGAAAAAGCTTTGTCAAGCTCTTATGCTTGTAAGAGCTATCTGCATAAGCAGACCCACTGATGTCCATGGAACCTCTTCTGTGAGTGAGGGTTAATAGCATGAATTAAGGCTTGTAGGATGAGATCCTAGATGACTCTTTTTTTTTAAACTATTCATGAGCCTGGGATTCAGTCCTGCAGTTCTTTACTCAGGCAAAACCTGTATCAATATCCCTCCATAGTTAGTTTCCTCTTTCCAGTGGGTCCAATTCACCAAGTGGTGGTACCAGCTGCTCCTCAGCAATTCAAGGAAAAATTGTAGTCCCCAAAGGATGGTAGGTGGGGTTCCAGCTCATAAAATACAAACTTAGCTACATGGACATTTTGCAAGAAACACTTCTTTGTCACACCTACTAGGCTTTTCAAATTCAGTCTCTGAGATGAGTCATTGAAAAAACCCACACAAGTGTTGTGAAAAAAATGACAAAGCTTAGTTGGAACTAAAGGCTTTTGTGTGTTTGTGTATGTGTGTGTTAGGTTAGAATGCAATGTTCTGTATCAGTACATTCTGCCAGAAACTTTCCTCCTGGAAACTTCAAAACTTTTTAAAAATACTCTCAGTCTGCTTTCCCTACCAGCAACAAGGAAAAGGAGTGTCCATCCAGCACGGCTGTCTGTACCATGTGCATCATCGGAAGTCATAGTGTTCTAGCACAAACGTCGTGAGTGCAGATACTGTGTACTAGCAGAGAGCTAAAACTTCTGAAGCTGTTGTCTGTAGCTCCTAGGAACAGCAAGTATGACAGGTGCAAAACCTATATTTGAGGCAGAAGACTCTTCAATTTGATTGAGACCAGATCTTCCAAGGGGAAGAATCGCTGTCAAGCCAAAATGATTCTTTCTGCTTAAGAAAGCAATCTGCCCTTCCTAAAGGCTCTTGACTAATAGAATCCTACACATTATGTCAGATCCTCCATGGATTCTGGTAGTTGTTAAAAACACTATAAATATTTCCATGTTTGCCATATCACTTAACCTTGTAACGTGCCTTCTTTGATTTGTTGAATAAAAAGATTCCTTTCATCTTCAGGTGTCCTTCCGTTTTGTGCCCGAACTATACAAGTGGGCCTGTGAAGATTTAGCATGTATATCAAATGCTGCTTCTCATTCTTTAGCTCTTCAATCTGGGCTTTTAATTCGGCATTGATAGTTTCCAGCTTTTCTGATTCCTAGTCACAAAGAACAGACACAACTATTAGACTGAGTAGTTAACTGCAATGTTTATCTCATAGTTTCAGTCTTTTATTGGTGGGAAAGATGTGGCTAGCAGAGAAAGAAATTGCATGTTCTTAGTGTCCTGTAATGATGAAACTATACATCTCCCAGTCGGTAACAGTCTGAAAACCAGATTGACAGTTACCTTCTTTGGCCTTTAGAGAAGTGTAACGGAAGTTGAAAAGCCGAATTCAGACTTGTATCCACTTACAATGACAGGTATCCAAAGCATTATTGCAATCTTCTGCAAAATTATTCTGAACTTTTTGGGTCAAAAATTGACCCTGAATTATCTGCGCTTCTTATTAACTCCCTGGAACATCATGTCACATATCTGTAAACCCATGTTAAGCTAATAAAGTAAGGACATAGCTTTTTTTTTTTCCCCTCCCACCCCTGAATATAGGAACAAAGACAGGCCTGATGCTGCTGTAATATAGTTTTATATCATGGCAGAGCAGATGAAGACACTACTGGAGTCTTAGGACTGGGGTCTTAGGTCTTAGGGTCTTGTCGGTGTTTGTAGGCTCTTGGTCTCCACAACGGCTATTACATGAAATGCAATTTTACTACTTTTTGTGTTCGATGTCCACATTCAAATTCATATTATCCCCATAGATAAGATGGGTCACTGAAACAGTAATCTCTTTTCACTCCTACCATGCTTTCACTTTTTTCCAGCTTTAACTAGGTTTGATTTAATATATAGCATGTTCATTTTTTTGTAACTAATGTTTTGACAGGTTTACAGAGTTTTGAGTGACAACTTTCTGTACTTCCTACTATGACAGTGCCCCTGTGCTGTCCGTTCAGACCCTAGCAGGATGACAGATTAGGGACATTTCAAGCCAGTCACTTACTTTCTGCAAACATTCTGTTTTTTCCTTCTTTTTGTTTCGACACTTTGCAGCAGCGATTTTGTTCCTTTCCCTTCTTCGCTTTTTCCTTTCATCCTCTTCAGGAGAAAACTATCCCATAAAAACAGATACACACAGTCTGTAAGATGTCATAAATACTCAACCTGCATTTTGATAACTTCTGCATTTTTAAAAGCAGCATGGATAGTGTTGTCAGTGCTCACATCATGAATTACGTAAGGGTGCGATTCTGACCTTGCTTGCCATACAGTAAAATGGTAGTAACTCCATTAGAATTGTCAATAAAAACCTGACTGGAGTTTGGATGGATGTAATCCATGTGATGGCTCATTTTAAATCAATGGTACTCGAAAAAACTTGCCAAGCGTCTCCCCAGGCTGCCTCCCACACCTCCATCTCTCCTCCCTTTCCCGAGGAGGAAAAGGAGCGAGGGGCATGGGGAGCAGAGCCGGGGATGGGGCATGAACAAGGCAGCGAGAGTGCAGCCAACTAAAGGCAGTGCCGTAAAGGGGATATTAACACACTCCTTCAAGCTTTGTTTTGTTTCCTGTGGAGGCTCAGACCAAGGTGTAGCTGTTTCCCTAACTTAATCTGTTTCTCTGCTTCATAAGAGAAATGTTTTTCACAGAGACTATTATCTTAAAGTAAAAACCTAGTGTAGACATAGCATGGCCGTATCTACCTCAGTGTAGCCCACGTGGGTCCTACTGCACTGTCCTCACTGAAGCAAAGCTGCAGTGACTTATTCCAAGTTCAGCCAAAAGTAGGCAGGAAAACCAGATTAGTGCTTGCTCTAATCACTGTAAAACATTGGCCTTAGTCCATAATCAAAAATATCCAGCTATATGTCTCAAAGGAAATGAGAAATACCAAGGGGTTTCGCAGAAGCACGTAACAGAAAGCCAAGCAACAGGCTTAAAAGGATCAAATGTGGCGGAGAGAGTTGTCTGTAGTTGATACAATTACTGGTCTTGTGGTGAAACTTTATTAGAGAATTAATCATTCACACTGAAATGCTATTTAGAGAGTCATACCTCTGTTTTCATGATTGATGTTTCAATTGGCCTTTCAGAAACTGTCACCGTGTCCAATGTAGAAGACATCCTGTGGGACTGACGCTTATTCTGAATGGCGAACCTCAGTTCCTCTTTCACCAGTGGGGTTAAATTTGTGAAATCATCAAACCCCAGTGACCCTGCAGGGGACAAAGTGGGAACAATTGCGGAGGCGCTGACTTCTAATGCAGATACCTGGCCTGAGTGTTGGACCATCATTTTGCTGAAAGGTAAAAAGAGATAATAATAATAGTCTTTCAACAACATTAGAAAGGCAAATAGTATCTCCTAGAGGTATATTTTATAATGTGAAATAATACTGTATTTCTTGCCTTGCTTCAGTCCCCGTTCCCCGTCTACCCCAGTCTCTCACTAGAGTCAAGCAGTTAAGAATTTGGTCACTAGGAAAAACTTCTACTTCAGGTCAACTTCAAGTTGGTATTTAGAAATAATAATAGTGTTAGCGCATCACACAATCTCTAGATCTTTCTGAAACTTAATATGGAAAAAAATTGTGTATATGTAGGTATACTTCAAAGTTTTAAACTGGTAATGTGTGGCAAATGGGAACTGAGTAAATAGGAAGAGAAAGAGAATAAGGAACAAAAAATCAGAAAGCAAAGAAATATTATTATTTAAAGCACAGAAGGAGTTTAAGAGTATCTCCATCCTCAGAGCTATACCACCACAAAATTTCAGCTTCAAATGGACAGAGCATACCTTGATCTCAACTACCTTTAGGCAAAGCTCAAAGAGTTCTACTAGGAGCTGAAGTCTGCTAACCAAGACAGAACCTGTCACCAAATTAGCATGCTCAGTTTTACACAGAGTTGCAGATCTGGCTATAAACTCCTGAAAAACAATTCACAATAACAGCCAGCACAAAGGTAAAAGTCTGTACACACTCTGGGGCTTCAAAGACTGAGTTGGAGAGATTGAGTCATGAAAAACGTGCAGCCGTTCATTTCATTCCTTTGCTCTTGTAAAATCTGAAACTGTCCTCATTCGGCCTCAACAAGAGGTCTGAAATTCTTAAATATTTATGGTCAGATCTCCTGCTGATATAAAACAGTGTGACTGAAGAGACTTCAGGGGAATTATGCAAATGGACACCCATGGAGGAACCTCATTTATAGTAGTTTTCCTCAGAAAATGAATCTACCCGACAGTGCTCTCTACTTTCCTCTTTTTAGTCATTCTTATTATTTTTTTAGCCAGTTTTGGAGGGAGAGAGGCCTCCTCTGTGCTTTGTGAAAAGTGGTGACGCCACTGAGGGAAAAAGAGGCAAAACTCATCAGTCAGCCATCCAGTCAACACTGTGGGCAACCTAGCTAGCCAATGCAGAGAGCTCTGCACAACACAAACCATCTCTTACCCAGAAGAGGTGAGATGAGAGGTCTGGAAGAAAGCTGAGTGTTTTTTGTGGGTGGCCCAAAGGACAAAATGTGCAAAACCACAGGAAAACAGATTGTATTACTTCCCTTATTCATAAAGTGACTTGTGTTAAATTGGATTTACCATATTGGTTTTCCAGCTTTATTTGGTGTGTAGGTTTGGGTTGTTTTGTTTTTTTTTTTAACAGCTGTAATGGGTAATTACAGTATGTGTTACCTACTCTTGATTAGAACTGTAATAATTATAGCAAAGTCAATTGTAATTAACTTAGTGCAGGTAAGCAAACAGTTGCCTCGGGGCAGCAGTGTGGGTAAGCTAAATTTCCACATGGTCAACCCAGAATTGCATAGTTCCCTGTATGCTACTTCTGTAACCCAGCAAGAAACGTTTGGGGTCATGTGCCTTGACAAGAAGATAGATTTTGCTCAGAGATATCTAAAAATACACTGTAAATCCACACCGGTGCAAATGAGAGTAGAATCTGGTTCATGGCTAAGGGAGGCAAATACAAAAATGTGAGGACAGCGAATGGCCAGTTGGTAGAAAATGGCCATGTCCAGCTGCAGAGACTTCCTCACTTCTTCCTCACCCAGTCACCACAGAAGAGCTGAAGATTTCTAAGAGTCTGGGGGTGAACTCCTGAACCCAGTGAAATCAAAAGGACTTTTTCTGTTGACCTCAATGGGGCTAGGATTTCACCCGTAGTTATTAAAGATGAGGAAATTATTTGGAACAACTTGTTATTCAGAAAGACCTTGGGAAATTTATGTAATTCTCTTCAGAAAGCCCCTGCTCATGAGTCACATTTAAAGTACTGATACGGTTTAATCCTATAATCTCAGAAAGCTAGCAGTTACTCTTTTCCAACAAGGCAGAAACAGCCCTATAATTTCCATCTAAAGTCCTCCCAGCATTATTTATCATTTATCAACATTGAACCATTCAACTCATTTAAACAGGCTAATTCCAGATGACACTGAACCCCTCATTGCTAGCAGAAATTTTAGCTATTTTCACTGAATATCAGTCTCCTTGGCTCCCAGTGATGGCTTCATTCAACAAAGTTAATTCCGTATAATTCAGTCAAGCCAGGAGTCTTAAATTAACAGTAAAACAGTTTCTCCAGCCTACAAAATAATTAATTGGGCTAATAATTTTCCAGCACTGGTGGTTTATTCAATTATTTTTCAGTTTAGGTGAACTTTTAATTAAGGTCAGCAGCAGCACCCGAGGAAACCAAGAATGTTTGTGTCTTAGTAACGTGTCTGAGACAAATTGTGTTAATTGTGGATTTCTATGAGTTAGTGCTAGGTGTACCACGAGCACCAACAAAACCTTACTATAATGTCCTCAGGTAATCTCATCCATCTGTCATTAGTGTAAAAAAAAAAATAAAAAAAATTAAAAAAGGAATGGGACTGTGCCCACAGGGAGGGGAAGCACAGAGGGGGAAGTGTCCTTGACTGTAGAAACTTGCTGCTCTCCTGCCTGACCAGCTCACTGACCTTCCAGACATCCTGAAAGGCATCTCTATTTATTCAGACTTTAGGGAAGGGAGGGCCTAGCAGGGGGCTGAGACTCGTGTAAGGATTTCTGCCGTGAGCCGAGTCCCATTTTGCAGAGCTGTTTGCCACTGATTTGCTTTCCTGGGGCTCTTTCTTGGGGCAGAGCTTCTGGACAGTGCCTAGGAGGGCAGGCTTCCAGTCTACCACTGAGATTCTTAGGAGCCACCGTGAAACAAATAAAAATCATCAGCCTTTTGTCAAACGTACTCAGTAAGCTGAATAGATTCCCTTTTCATAACAACAAGGTAGATGCTGAAGAACAAATCTGCTTTTAGAAATGTTTTACAGGAATGAAAATTAAAATTTGCTATTGAAAAAAATGCAACAGGTTGCCCTTCCTTTTTCCCCAATTTTTGTACAAGTTGTACCTCTGTCTCTAAGCCATCAAGAGCACTATCTCATTTTCTCTGGGTTTGCAAAGGCTGGGGAAACAGTAGGAATAAGAATATCAAGCTTTAAAGTGTGATTGCATCTGGGCCTTTCTGACACAACCTCTGTTGACTTTGTTAGGCCGTGCGCATGGATCTCGGCTCCAGGCTGGTTTGAGCCCTTCTGAAGTTACTGGCATTGAAGGTGCTGAACATTCCACAGACCTGACTGGAAAGGCACAGCTTGTTCCCCGTGTGAGTTAATGCTTCATTACTTTATCCTTAGTTTCGGAATTCTCCAAAGAGAACAGCTTTTCTGTTAATGGTACCCTCCCAATTCAGGTAGATTCAAGCTTTTTGTTTGTTCTTTTGCTGATGATTCTTTCCACCTACAGTGAACTTTTACATCTCATCTGACAGTATTTTAGTTTCAGGACATACCTCCTAGCTGTGCATTTCTATTATTTAAGGGTATTCCCGTTTGATATTAACATTAAAAAGTACTGCTTTCAGTTTTTTCTCTTTCGCTTAGTTGCAGATGGCTGACTGTGCTTCTTGGTTTTATTTCTTCACATGAATTCCTTTTCCTCTGGTGCTGATGCAATAAACCCCGATAACCATTGAGGTTAATCTTAAACAGCATTAAGAGCAATTACAGTTCACAACCTCTGTGCACGCTGGTTGACCTTACGCTTTCTGACATCCCACATCATTCCCAAACCATTTTCTGCTGCCTTCCAGGGCTTCTCAAAAGCTCTTACCAGGAGGAAAATTGATTTCCAACAGGAAACTCGTTCTCTGAAACGAGTTTGCTGTTGTGTCACGCCTGACTTGATTAGGCAACAGTTTAGCAACTGATCTTCTTCATGTCAAGACAGGGGGACAGAAAGAAAAGTGAATGTCCCTGGCTCACACCGAGAGTTCCCGCTCATTTTATGGATGTGTAATGGATGTATAGATATACGCGGCAGCGGGGGGTTACTCGCGGCCTGGCCGGTTCGGCTGCAGCTCCTCAGCCCCTGCCCCTGTCCGTGCCCACCCTCCGGGGTCG